AATGATAATGATATACATTTTAGTGCTATATCAAATCAAACAAACATTTCCATACTTCACAAATGATACACATTTTAGTGCTGTATCAATCTCAAACAAAATCCGGTTTAGAGGTCCATCCCCCATCTTCCAATAAACAGTGGAGTACATCCCCCATCTCCTCCCATACAATACAATGTATATAAGCAATTATCATATACAAATTTAATCAATCAAGATAGATGATACACATTTTAGTGCTATATTAATGTCAAACAAAACACTTCTATAATTCACAAATGATACACATGGTAGTGCTGTATCAATGTCAAACAATATTCGATTTAGAGGTCCATCCCCCATCTTCCAATAAACCGTGGAGTACATCCCCCATCTCCTCCCATACAATACAATGTATATAAACAATTATCATATACAAGTTCAATCAATCAATACAATGTTTTGATGTATTATACCAACCACCATACTTGATAGCGTACTCAATTGATTAATTTTAATTTGCTTAATCATCATGCATTGTCTACAACAATTAACACTATCCTCCATCGATAGCCCAAAGCAGTTATTTCTAAACAGAAAATAAATGCACCAACTGGATAAAATATCAACGTTTTGTCTAGGTGAGCGATAAATTAATCCAACTACACCCTCTAATCTCATACTTTTCCAATTTGAATATTTCCTATTCAATTTCTCATTTCCCTAAATTAATTATACAAATTAATTTATCATAACAATTAGAGCTTTTTCCCATATTTACAATGCCAACCCTAAGGTTCCATTCTCCATCAATAATCCAACACCAAGTCCATTTTCCAATGTATTACATACATAACGGTTTATATGTTTGAAACCCCAACTTTTTGAAAATTACATAAAGACCCCAAAACCTTCTCAAAATTTCCCAACAACCCCCAACATATCAAAATGCCAAAATTTAAAGACAAAGCTCATAAGATGGAGTAGGATATCCCTACCTCGAAGTTAGAGCTCAAATGGAGAAGGATACCAAACTCAAAGTTCTCCAAACTTCAAACTTTTCGGATCAAAACGTAGCCCTCGACGATCAACACACTTTTTGTAAAGGCCAAAGGGTAGAAGAACACTCTAACTAGATCAATCCTAAGAGAGAAGGGAGAAAGTAGTGAGAGAAGCTCTCAACAATGGCTTTTCGGAAAAGTAAGGGAGAGAGTGGAAGTTGAAAAGTGATTCAAAATAGCCTAGCTGTCAACTAATATACGACACCCCCGCTCAAGCGGATGATAGGACGCTCGAGCGTCAAACACGAAAACTGGACCCACTCGAGCGTAAGAAAGCCCGCTCGAGCTCCAAGACACAAGAACAAAACACATCCGCTCGAGCGCGAAAACCAGTCCGCTCGAGCGTGGATTCTCCCCTCCCAGTATTTTCTCAGACAGTGAACACCCGCTCGAGCGCCAAAATGGCCCGCTCGAGCGCGACCTGCTCGAGCGTAGGGAAACCCGCTCGAGCGTGAAAAATAAGCCTGCAGTACTATTGCAGAGGCATGAAATGCTGGAAGTATGGAATCTCCGCTCGAGCGCACAAGGACCCGCTCGAGCAGACCACTCAAAATCTAGGCAACAAGAATTTGAACTGAGGCTCAACCCACCTGTTCAAAACACGCTCAACACATCCTAAAGCTCAGACATATGGAATTAAAGGATGACAACAAGACATGCAACCACCAACTCCACGGAACCTAAGTCCGGAACACTGTACATAAAGGGGACAAACCTGAGATCGCTATAACATACTTATAGCTTTAGAGGGCCGACAATTATGCATTGGTGTTAACTACATTGCGTGATGTCATAGATGGTTTTGTTTTGCCGGCGATTATTGTCACTGACAGAGAGCTAGCCTTGATGAATGCCATACAGAAGACATTCCCAAGTGCCAGACATTTATTATGCCGTTGGCATATTAGTAAGAATGTATTAACCAAATGCAAGAAACTGTTTGAGACAAAGCAGAAATGGGAGAAGTTTAACCATGAATAGAACGCTTTAGTGTATTCATCTTCTGAAATTCAATACGATGAGCGTCTTCAGTCATTATTTAAGGAATTCAGTAGTTATCCTGATGCAGTCAACTACATCATGGATACTTGGTTGGTTCCTTACAAGGAGAAATTTGTGGCGGCATGGACAGACATGTGTATGCATTATGGCAATGTTACAACTAACTGATAAGATTACTTTTGTTCAATACGTTATTAAGAAGTGCCATGTACTTTATTTTGATTTCACTTACATTGAATTGAACAGAGCTGAGAGTGCACATGCAAAACTGAAAAGACAACTGGGTTTATGTCAAGTCTCATTTGAGGCATTATTTGAGAAAATACATAGTCTGCTTGAGTTACAACACACTAATATCAACGCTTCATTTAAGAAAAGTCTAACTATTGTGCAACATCAATTCAAGCTTTCTCAGTTTAGAGAGCTACGGGATAATGTGTCTATTTCTGCATTAGAGTATTTGCTTGTAGAGAGTAAGAGAGCACAATTCCATTGGTATTGATGTTGAAGCTTGTAGATGCGTCCGTCGCCACATTCATGGTTTACCTTGTGCCCATGAGATTGCTGACTACATCAAACAAGATCGCCATATACCATTTGCTACCATACACTCACACTTGAGGCAACTTCATATCTCCATATGCAATAAAGAAGAGAAAACGGAGGTGACTTGTCATGCAAAAGTAGAGTTATTTGTGAAAAAGTTCAATAAAAGTGATAGAACCATGCAGTTGGAGCTTTTGAAGAAGTTGAAAGAGATTGTATATCCGGGAAGCACTTTTCTTGTTGAGTCGAAAGTGAAGCCCAATACACGTCCTCGGGGTCATAAAAAGATTAATGTTTCTACCCGTTGTAAACCGTATGTATTTGAGTTGGTGCAATCTGGACATGATTCCTTCTCACCTTGGGACACTCAAATCACTACATTAGCTTCTACTCAGGAAACCAAGAAGAAGCGACTTGTTAAGGGAAAGGAGAATGTGAATGTGAAGGGGATGGTGTATATTACCATAATAGTAAAACCTGGTGCATATGTTAATGCTTTCCCTTCTAGGTTGAAAACATACATTAACTTTGCTAAGGATGTAGCTGCAGATGGGAATTGTGGTTTCAGGGCTATAGTTGCTTCAATTGGTCATATAGAAGATGATTGGGCTTAGGTTAGGCATGATCTTTTGGGTGAGTTGCACACCCACAAAGAGGAATACATTATACTTTATGGGTCCTACAAAAGGTTTGAAGAATTGACAAGCATATTGTCATACTTTGAAAATAGTCCCGATTACTCACATTAGATGGCTATGCCAGGCATGGGGCATCTTGTTGCATCGTGCTACAATCTTGTGTTATACCACTTGTCATTACAGCAATGTCTCACCTTTTTACCTCTGAGAATAGTGCCAGTATCTCAACTTGATAAACGTGAGATTGCCATTGGATTTGTCAACAGAAATCATTTCGTGCAGGTATAAGAGAAACTTATCATTTCATGCATGTACAGGAAGTTATAAGGTATGACCACTAACTGAAGTGAATTTTGGTGCAGGTTTTTTGCAGCCAGGCCATCCAGTTCCTCCTATAGCCACTAATTGGCTAAAATGCAGTCACCCTTGCGCTGTAGATTGGGATGATATATATGTGCACCGCATTCAGCATTTCAAGGACATTATTCATGATACTGTAGCTACTCGAGAGACATTTGACGTTGTTAATGTCGATTGACAAATGTATACATTTGACAATGTTAGAACTATGAAAGAAATTGATGGATGTGTTTTTTGATGTTGATATGTTCTCTCGCATGGATTGAATGTTATCAACCATTGTTACTATTACATTCTAATAAGAAAATATCATTTACAATGTCATCGACCATTGTTACCATTACATTATAATAATAAAATATCATTTCCAATGTCATTGCCCATTGTTACCATTCCATTCTAATAAGAAAATATCATTCACAACATCATTCAAAGATGTCTACAGCAATGTCAACTTACAAAAACACCACAAAAAATTTATCAACTGTCAAATAACATGTCATAAATCATCTGTAAGCCTACGACTGTATGTCAATATCCGAGAGTCGAAATAGGTCCAGCTTCGTCAATATGCTGACCTTCAAGGACATGTGTCATTCAAGGACATGCATCATAGCCTCAATGGCCTGGTAAAGTCAATGAAAATGTCGAATCTCGTCCTCATAACCAGCCTGGATGATAGGATGTGCAATCCTCAGTGCATGTGCAATACGCTGCATTTTAAAAGAATACCACATTTTAGGGTACATATCAAAAAAATAGAAGTACGTTACAAATGCATAAAAGAGGATAATGTATTACATCGGCATGTTGGTTGAAATCTTGATGTTCATGCACACGTGGTCCATCATTGCGCTCAACATATCGGTGCATGATATTCTTATACCAATCTATGTAACCCGGTATGTATTCCCAAGGCTGATGAACTGGTGTGCTCCCCTGCTACTTAGAGAACACATGGCTATCCCAAAGTATTTATTCATGACTGTATATCATGTAGATATGTTGCCTCGAGTACCATGAGTGCGAGCCAGCGGTGCATCTGGGATGGTTTGAACCCTGCCAAACTGCCTTAAAACTCTATCTGGATGATAGGGTTCGACCACGTTTAAGCACTTTAAGCATCCATGGTAGAATGTAACTGGGTTACATGGATGCCGGTCTCTATAACTCTGGTATACATCCCAAATAACCTGTAAACGTAAAATATTTTTGAATTAAAGTATATAAAGGGTAAGATAAATAGAAAGTGTTAAAATTATCTCAAGACAAGTAAACTTATATCAGTTGCTACCAAACTGTCAAGCTCCACTCGAAAAGATTTCAAATGATCAATGGAAGAGCCCACCTCTCTCCTAAATGTCCAATAGTACACAAATGGCATGCCTTCATTGTAGCCTATGTTCTAGAGAGGTCAGAATGCTCGGAAGTGCTCATAAATCCACACCTCCAAAAGAGTCATATAACCACCGATCTGCTTCACACGAGATCGACTAGCATACCTCAACTGTCTGTATAAAAATGCTAATGCAGCAGCACCCCAGGCATAAGTATGAATAAATCCCAAATCCATTAATAAGCCAAGGTAAACAACAGGAACCCTGGTACCACTCTTGTCACTGAAGAGCGTACATCCCAACATAAATAACAAATAACCTCTAGCAGCGCACTCTATGGCCTCCTCTGGGTCTGAATCTGTGATACCAGCAAACTGACTTCGCAACCACTCAAGCCTGACTAAACTCCCACCAGCAGTAGAAACCCCGTTATGTGTTACATATTCAGTAATCCCCAAGCCAGAAACCACTAGTATAACTCCATAAAGATCCATTACATCTAGAACGCTAACTGATCTGCCTACAATGGGAAGGCTAAGAATAGTGCCAACATCATCCAAGGTTAAGGTCATCTCACTAACTGTCATATGAAATGTGTTCATCTCCGGTTGCCATCTCTCAACAAAATAGGAGATTAGAAGCTTGTTGACGAACCGATAAGTGTAACAAGCTAACTGTGACAACCCAGACCGCTCAATCATAGCTTTGAATCTGATGTTGTTGTCTATTAACCACCATGCCCATGCAAGGATCTTCGAAGAGTGATTATAACACTCTAGGGGCCCTCGTTCCTATAAAAGAAATTAAAATCTCATTAGAAACTACTATATAACACCATAAAAAAATCATATACAAATGAATTTAACTTCTACTCAGGAATGTTTACCTCCCCCTGCCAAACAACTGCAACGACATGACTATTAAAACTCCGCAGTATTGATGGATCAGTCGGTCCACCTAGAAAAGCATGAGTAAGGTCCTCTTCTTGGATAGTAGGAAAATCGAGTAAAGGGGCATCCTCCATGGCAATGTCAAGCATATCACCTTCTGCTTCAACTATGACTTTGACTGTGACTGGCACTGGGGATATCATATTCTATCGAAACTGGATGACGACCTCGACCACGACCCCAACCCCAACCTCGTCCTCGTCCTCGCTCACGCCCGCTTCCCTGTTCACGGTCAACATCTACTTCACGGCGTCTTCTATTTAAAGCAGCAGATGGGACAGGTTGTTGACGTTCATAATCCATATTATCTACAAAAATAATATATTTAATGAGCATACAATTGTAAAAAGAATATACAAAAGAGAAAATATATATATATACCGCTCGGAAGTTGAAAATTGAAAATATCTCTACTGTTTAGAAGTTGAAAACCGAAACAATAACTAACTTTCGGAAGTTGTATGTCAAATGAATTAAATAAATTCGGAAGTTAAATGTCGAAATAAATAAATAAAAAAAATCGAAATTCCAATGTTGAATGACATGTTAATTTTCGAACTTCTACTTCCGATCAAATATGTTATTTTCGGAGAACCAATTCCGAATGAGGAACATAGTGCTCAATCACGGTGGGCTATGCGTCATTTCAAAAATGGTAAAAACAAACCCTACATTACAAATAAAATAGGAATGAGGATTAATATAAGTAAACTAACCTAAGTTCTCCAAATGAGAAGATTTCCTTCGATGATTCACGTCATTTTGTTCAATACTCTTCAATACCAATGATTGACGTCTTCAATGAATGGATGAAGCTTTTGGGAGACGAACGGTGGAGTGTGAGAGATGGGTGTGTGTGTGAGAGAGAGACAGGTCTGTCTGAGGGGTTTGTGTGTTCTCTGAGAGGGTGTGTGCATAATTTACATTTGAGGGTAGATGTGGAATAAGAGGTGTGTGGAGTGAGCAAAATAAATTTAAATTAATTTTTTAAGTGTGTGTATTGCAAAGGATGTGCACAAAGAGGAATGGGTGTGTGCAAATAGAAGGACCCGATCTCATGGGATAAAAATCTAAACATATTTGACTTGATGGAATACTAAAAAATTTTGTAGACTTATTGAGTTATAAGTCTACTAAATAGAATTTATGAATAGATCCCCTAGAATTTACCTTCAATATTATTACATACCCAAAGGCATGTTGATCACCATTGTACGACGAGTATTTTGGGAGACATTAGATCAAAGTAGCTACCATGATTACTAGAGGCGGTACGTAGTTTGTTAAGATTATCATTAGAGAGGAAAGTTTATAGTAGAATAGGATTCATGTTACACTCTTAAGTAGGATTTATACTCATATATTTATATTTAGGGATGTATTAATAATTAAAATTATATTTATTTAAAAAAAATTCAATAATTAGTATTTATTTTTTAAAAAATAAATTTAATTGACATTTAATTAATTTAATATTTTAAATAAATAATGAGGTCCGAGCCAGCTCTACCTGCTGACACCAAACTTCTTATAAAGGCTTGAGCTTTTGATTTTAAGATTGGACCAGGTCTTCCCAATTACATCGACATTGTCGCCTCTTTATATATTGTTTCAATTTTCTAAGTTGTTAAACCAATAATCTCTCTCTCTCTCTCTCTCTCTCTCTCTCTCTCTCTCTTCTCTTTTCTGTATATCTGTCTCTCTGGTGTTGGGTCTACTTTTTTCTTGAGCTTTTGGTACACCATCTCTCTGTTTCTCTGCTTTTTCTACAGAGAGGACATATGGGTTGGTTTCCTTGCTCTGGACAATCGAACCACACAGCTAAGAAGAAGAGAAAGAAGAAACAGGTTCTTGATCCGATCCAACCCACTTCAGGTAATTGATATATATGAAAATCTATCACACTCACATATATCTATATATATACATGCACACAGAGGTAAAGCTTCTCCCCCATCTCCATCTCTATCCCAATTACCTGATTATTCAATTAGTCTATCGATTCAGTGGAATTGGGTGATTCAGCTGATTTCATGTATAAATGTGCATATTAATTTCTGGGATTTGTGTGGATGCTAAGAAAGAATTTGGGGGAGAGGTTTTGTAGTGAATTCATAGTCTTTTTTCCAATCTAATTACACAAACATCTGGCTCTAGGTGTCTGTGTACATTGTAAATGAAAAAAAAAAAAAAACCATCTTTGCTCTGTCTTGTGCAATTAGTTGGCCAAGTCTTTCGAACTGTTCATCTTCCTCAAAACATAACAGTTGAGGGTGGCTTCAAATGGTGGGTTTTTTTTTGTTTTTTCTTTTGAATTATTTGTCATCACTATTTTCAGATTCTTGCCTTTTGTTAGTCTGTAATGGATTGGCTTCAAAATAGGGTTTACTAGAATATAAGTTGTGTTCAACCGTAAGAAAATTTATAATATGCAGTGAAAATATTAGGCCTGAGCTTTTAATGAAGCGGACTTTACTGATTTTGATGTTGATTTAGAGTAATGCATCACAAAGGTGATATCTCAACACGGGTTATTTAGCTTCTGGTTGCTTGTTTTGTATTGCGGGTGGAATTAAAATTGTGAAGGCACATCATATAATTGAATACAACTCATAATATGTATTGGGCTTTTGAGGGTTTTGTCGGTTCTAGAACAGTCCTTGCATTGTTGGAAGGAACTAATGTATTGAGGCATTTATTTGCTCTTCATTTTCCATCATCACAAAGTTCAAAGATAAAACGGTTCTTGGCATTTGCTTTGTTGTTTATGTTCCCTTGTTTGCTTGTTGAGCATTCAGGACTTGCTAGTTGTGAGAAATTAAACCTGATCTGTCTTGGGTGCTGTGAATATTCTATTTGGGGAATGTCTGAATAATTTATTTGGGGAATGTTTTTCTCTACAAAAGATTTGTAATAAATATCCTCTATTACCAATGTGGAAAGGGCACGTGTAATCTCAATGGGATTATGGTGGTTGTTTTTCTTTGAATTGATAGGATTCCGGAGAGATATGGCCCCATTTATTAGTGTAATTTCTTGGTTCAAGTTTTTGTGCAACGCATTCTTTTTTTTGACGTGGTCTTTTCAAGTTTTTGTCTTTTCCATGATATTAAAAGGAAGTGCCTTAGTAAAACAATCATCAATTTAGAAGTTCAATCACATTCAAGCTTTTATAAAGAGCTTGCTATGTTAAGCTTAATTTAGTTACACTATATGTATGTTTATTACATTTACGAACCCTATATGAATGTAACTTTGTTTTTCCACTATTTTATTGGTTTTGCACAATTTCAGAGAAATTGAAGAAAAATCCCTCTTTGAAGATAAAGGAGTCCTCAAAAGATGGGGGTTCCAATCATATTGCTGCTCAGACTTTTACATTTCGTGAATTGGCTGCTGCAACCAGAAATTTCCGGGGTGATTGTCTTCTTGGAGAGGGAGGTTTTGGCAGAGTATACAAGGGGCGACTGGAAAGTTCTAATCAGGTTGAGCAAGTTTGTCTAACTGAAAGTCTGAGACTATATATGAAAGAAAGAGAGAGAAGACCAATTGGAAAAGTTTCCACGCATGCTCTTTTCTTCCACAAAGTTTACTCTTTTGATTACCTAGTGGTTAACTTACAATTTTCTTTGATTGCTAACTTAGCAAATATCTTAAAAAGGCCAGCTGGATTTGTGATTATCATGGTTTTGTCATCTCTAAGCATTGGGTTTTTAATGTTGTTCAGTGAAATTGAAAACCGTTTACTGTTTTTGGTGTAGATTGTGGCCATCAAGCAACTTGATCGCAATGGATTGCAAGGGAACAGGGAATTTCTTGTTGAAGTGCTGATGTTAAGTTTGCTTCACCATTCTAACCTTGTTAACCTGATTGGTTATTGTGCCGATGGAGATCAGAGACTTTTGGTTTATGAATACATGCCACTAGGATCTTTAGAGGACCATCTTCATGGTATGTGTATATATATACTATAAAGCCCACATATATCTCAATTTGGATTTTTTTCTTTTTATATAAATATTGACCGGGGTACTAACTCGGATTCTTATTGTGCAGACCTTCCACCTGGCAAGCAACAACTTGATTGGAATACAAGAATGAAAATAGCTGCCGGGGCAGCAAAAGGATTGGAGTATTTACATGACAAAGCCAGTCCACCTGTCATATACCGTGATTTAAAATGCTCCAACATTTTGCTCGATGAGGATTATCATGCCAAGCTATCTGATTTTGGGTTGGCCAAACTTGGCCCTGTTGGGGATAATACCCACGTATCAACAAGGGTTATGGGTACTTACGGGTACTGTGCCCCAGAGTATGCAATGACTGGTCAGTTGACTCTGAAATCGGATGTTTATAGCTTCGGTGTCGTTCTTCTGGAGATCATTACAGGCCGTAAAGCAATTGAAAATTCAAAAACTGCTGGAGAGCACAATCTGGTAGCATGGGTAAGAGATTCACACCTTCAACTTTACATTTGAGTAAATAATTTTGAATTTTTTTATTGTTTTTGTCAAATATATATGGTGGGCCAGCATCTATATTGTCTCTTTCTTTCTTTCTCTCTGTCTATCTCTCTCATCCATGTCCTATATGTTTTGGCTATTAGGTGCATGACTGTCTGTCCTCAAATTTATAGACCCGAGAGTTTAGAACTTGATGTCTGACCTAGTAAATTCATCACATACAAAACTTGGTAGTATATATTACCTTGTAATGGAAGATATATATATTTAATTCTAAACCATATTAGATGGCAGCTGGCCACTACTATTGCGAAGACACTAATAATAAATGCATCCATAGTTTTGGAAGCCAAGATTGGTGATGATAGTCAAAAAGGTGCCCCACTGTGTGTTTGTGCCTGTTGTATAAGACATGATGATTACTACTCATCATAAGTTTGTCAAAGTTTAGGGTTCACAATTTAATTTAGGTTGGTACTACCTCAACACGGGGACCTAAATTTAAGCAAGACCTCGAAGTCAAAAGAGGGGAAGTAAGTGGATTCCTTGAACCAACTGTCCCCAAAAAGTTGGTACCAGTTGGTTTCAAGTTGAAGCATAGTGGTGGGTTGAAGAGTCACCTCTTAATTTTACATCTTGACAAGCCAGTTTGAAAAGAGAGGAGAAATTTTGATTTATTTTGTGTCGTGAGTAAGTAAAAAGCCTTACAAATCAAGCAATAGTTTTCCTTGAGTGTAACCATACAAAATGAACACGAGACTTGCAATAAAAGATGATACTAATAGAATTCTTCAAAATCCAATTAAAGGAGCTTTAAAAAACTAATCCGACATCTCATGAATTGATTTGAAGTCCCAACTCTTGATAATGATGAAACTTCCAAGAAGTTTCCATCGACTATACTGATTGGGGAAACAACCACTTCTATGTTACGTGGACTCCTCAGTTTTGCTGAAGTACCCATGTTGACATGACACAACATGGGGTACGAGATTTGGATCTAATCCTTCTGCTTTGAAACAAATTTTTATTATTAAAATTTGGAGTTAAGTCATTGCCAATATATTAAATTTATAGTAAAATCGTTGTATTAATATGATATATCATAAATATGGAGTTTAATATATCATAAAACCCGTATCTAATTTTTTTTGTGAATCCGCTTATCCTAAAATTTGGGGTTTGATATGTTTCATCCCTAGACATGCAACCACACCTGGCACTCATACCCGAGTCTATTTAACATAGGCAGAATTGATTCGCCATCTTGATTGTTTTGATCCAATCAATTATGAGTTCAAATAATTTCAACCAAGAAAAATGCAATTTTTATCTTTTGCCCGGCAAAAAGAAAAAAAAAAGGAAAAGAAAAGAAATTCCACCAAACTTAAGAGTTTGGGTAGATCCAACCAATGTTTAAAAAGAACCTAAATCTTTCTTAAGTTACAGGAAAGGCTAGGGGAAAGCACGAGAAAACATTCTCATAATCGTGTATTTTCATGGGAAAGAACTATTTGCATGAGTGGAGAAGAACATCAACTTTCGCTTCAGTAGTCATCTTCTAATGATTCTCACAAATCTGGATTATTTACTAACTAAAATGCAGGCCAGACCTTTATTCAAAGACAGGAGGAAATTCTCACAGATGGCCGATCCAACGCTCCAAGGTCAGTATCCTGCGAGGGGCTTGTATCAAGCTCTTTCTGTTGCAGCAATGTGTGTTCAGGAGCAGCCTACAATGCGCCCAGTCATAGCCGACGTAGTAACAGCTTTGAGTTACCTCGCTTCCCAGAAATATGACCCTGAAACCCAGCCAGTCCAAAGCTCCCGCTGGGCTCCTACTACACCTCCTCGGACAAAGAGAGTGACAGATAAACGACTCAACGGTAGTAGTAGTGGATCCGAGAGAGATCGAACCAGAAGGTTGAACTGAGGTTGTTTTCTTGGTGTCAAGTTCTACAGTATTTCCTTCTGAATCTGAGAAAACTACTTTGAAATGTACCAGTTGTGGCTTCATTTTGGCTGCATTTATTTGGTTCCAGCTCATAAAATCACATTACAGGTGCAGATTGGAGCTCGTTCGTGTGTGTGACTTGCCTTCAAACATCTGGGTTTTCCCGCATTTTTAAGAACCAAACATGTAAGGTTTTCGCACTGTTTATCTTCCTCATGTTCTAGTCAAGATTCTTCTTTTTCTTGTGCCTGTCTCACCTGTATAGTTATATTTTGCATTCAGTTATGTAATTTTTGTAAAATTGAACAATTCGAACCATGACAATATTGCATCACTGATTTGAAATACATATGGAAATATCACAATGGCATGGGTTTTTTTTTTTTCTTCGTCTTTCTCTGATCTGTTTTTTCAAGCCTATGTGGTGTGTATAGTGCAGTGTTGTAGCCTGAAGATCGACTGCTACCTTATTGTCTGTCTGCCATTTTAAAACTCAGAAAAACTTTAGGTTGCGTTTGGTAGAGTTTTGTAAATATGATTTGAGAGTATGAGTTGTATTTTGAGTTTGTGAGTTGTGAAATTATGATTTGAGTGTAGAAAATTTGTTTGGTTATGGTTTTTGAATAGAGTATTAAATTGAGTTTTGAATTGTATGTGAAATTGAGTTTTGAAAGTTTGATGTGACATGTGAAATAAGAAAATTTGTTTAATGATAAGTTTTTAAAATAGTTTTCAAAACTTAATTCAACCTATAATTGATAATTAAACATACAATTCAGAACTCGATATCCGTATTTTTGATCAACAGTCATAACCAAACTATTTTTAAAATACTCAAATAAAAAAATAATTTTTCTTTCAATTAATTCTTTTTAAGTAATTTTTTTGAATAATTTTTTTAAATAATTTTTTTTTTCAAATAACTTCTATGTTAATTATTTTATGTCGATTAATTTTTCTATCAATTCATTTTTTAGACTTGTATAAACATTAAAAAATATTCCGAAAAATAAAATATTAAAAATATTTTGAAAATCAAAATATTTACAATTAAAATATTAAAATATTAAAATATTTTTATAAAAATTAAAATATTAAAAATATTGCTATAAAATAAAAAAATAAAAAATATTTAAAATAAAAATTAAGTTGCTTTTGAGTTTTGAAAAGAGTTTTGAGTTGTTTGTTTGGTTATGAGTTTTGAAAAGTAATAATTATAGTTTGAAATGAGTTTTGAGAAATGGGTGTAAAATTATGATTTGAAAGCTGCAACCAAACAGCACACTCAAACTAAGAGATAGAATTAAATTTCAAAAACTCTACCAAACAGAGCCTTAGTATTCTTACTTCTTTCTTTTACCAGGTCTTCAAATCAGATATTCATTATAATTTTTCGGATAAATTTGGTTTGTGACTCTTCATGTTCTCTCATGGTGAACGTGAGACAAAGAAGGTTGTGAATAAACTGGATTGAATTTTAGAACTGTTGCACTCCATTTGATCTTCTTTTTCGAGTCGAGTAACAACTTTAAAACAGTGATTACACTCCCAAAAAAAAAATTTACTCTGCAATTTCGTCTCGTTTCACATCTCTTATTTAATAGCTGGTTTTAGGTGGTTCTCATTGGAGAAAACTCAACAGCAACTGCAATTCTAGAATGGCAAGAATTAAAAAACCTAAAAGAAAAATAACTATGCAAATTAAACACTGTTTACCATCATCTTGGTAACCAAAAGAGAATCTTATTGATCGAAAACATTTTTAAAAAATAAATAATTCTTTGTCCATCAACTAGCTGCATATATCAATGAACAAAAATAAATATAAAAAAAATACGTGTTTTATTCAATAAGGTACAGGAGGAAGAGAAAAAAAGGTCACTGGCTCCTCAAAATGAGGTTGGTACAAACAACCGACACAAATACTCAAAATTTCAAGGGTACAAGTACAAAAAGAACGCTGCGCAGTTATTTACCAGAACATGTACACAGTGCAAGGCATCTAGTCTTGAAGCAGCATGGTCCATCTTCAAATGATCTTATTCCTCTAATAAAGTACCTCCCCGATTCCCATTAGTTTTCCTGATCTTGTTGGCTATTAGTTTCACTTGGCCTAATACTCGGAGACATACCCTCACTGGTCAATTTGCTCAGACCGGGCTCCTCAATATTAGTTGGTTTCCCCTGTTACATTCATGTCATTTTATCTTCATTCTCAATGACCGAAAAAGAAGGGCAATGTGCAGTGTGTGTCAATGCTGACTTTAGAAACAGAAACAGCATGTCATATATAGAAGAAAAATAATGAAAAGATAAAAATATGAATCGATAGCAATTGTAAGACAATCTATCTACTAAAGTGAGACATCTTTAAGTTCTATTCAACATTGTTTCATGTCATTTAAAGCATCTATGATAGAATCGACATTAAAAAAAACCCCAAACAATGTCTTTCTCAATAATTGTGATCAAGTAACTTGAAGATTCCTCCTATACTGTCTTCCATTCTCTGCAAGCTAGGACTTGAACATACTTTGGGGGTTGGCTTTTTTAATGACTTTTTGGCTCATTTTTAGAGTGTTTAGGGTTGGGCCAGGAGGATCTCATTTGGCAAACCCACTGCATGAATGAGTGCACTGTTTGTGTGGATGTAACATAACACTCACCAAGAATCTTAGTGGACAAAGTATATAAAACTTACCTTGTTCCTGTCACGCCAACTAAGTCCAAATGAGAGTAGGCCTATCTTTCTGGTGGGAACTTCCCTTGGAGAATCTGGATGCATAGACCTACAAAGCATTCTGCCGTCATACGATTCCATCTTCATCAAGAAGCAGAAAATCAACATATTCTGATGCTTACAAGCATGCACACGCACAAAGTTTACTTACATATTCAATGGGATAGTGGCCAAAAAAAAAAAAAAAAGAAGAAAGAAAAAGAAAAAGAAAAAGAAAAAGAAAAAAGAAGACATTTGACAAGGTGCTGTCGGTGGAAACTATTCCAAAGTTCTGTGTGTAATTCCTCAATTTTGTTGGTGGTGTGCCTTTATTACTCCCTCCAAGCTACATTGTTAGTCCTTTCCAGTTTGGAATGTCCCAAAATATAGTCCTCTTTTGAAAAGTCAAAAGCATAAATTTTTTTTAATTCCCAAAAACTATTTAAAAGTGGAAATAAAAATGCAATGATGGAAATCAATGGGTTTTTTTTTTTATTTAAAAATGAGTGCATTAATTGCATGTCCCCTTAAAAAGTGAGAAGGCTATATGGTGTGGGTAGTGATGCAAAACATAAAAACAAAAAATGAGGCAAATAGAGAATTTCCATATGAAGAGCACTTGTAGGCATGTTTTGATTTAATTTGAACCCAAGTTTCATATTTCCTGCAGGTTACTTCTGGTTGCCAGTTGTAATTTTGTTAGTGTTTCTTACATTCTAGTTGCTCTAAAATAGAATCAGGAAAACTCCAGCAGCCTGAATATGATTAATCATTCTATTAATAGGGATTAGTTCATTAAAATTTAAGAATCTCTTTTTGATCTTTTAAGTGATTGCATGGTTACAACCTTAACTCAACTGCACAATGACTTAGGTTTTATATGGCAATTGCTAAATGTTCTTCTTCTTCTTCTTTGCCACCTTAATCACACTTAGCCCTCAACTTCATTACATATATACATATATATTTTAAAAATTGAAACCAATAGTTGCTTTTTAAATCATAGTAACTGTCCACTTCATAGTTAGTAGTAATTAATTTTAAAATTGCTGTAAAAATACACATATAATTCTCATTATAACCACATTTTTGTACTAGCCAAATCAAAAGCTCTTCTTCATTTTAAGAATTTGCTATTAATTAATGTAACTCATTGAGTTGCCTGCAACAATCCATCACAAGGTTAGAGGCAGTTCACAAGGGTTGGCTAATCATCCTTGAAAATTTTATCTTGTAAAGAAACTTCTCAATATGAAGATTTTGTTACCTTTTCTTAAGTGAGACGTAGAATTTTCATTTAAAATGATGTAACACATTATTATTTAAAACAAAATTTTACTTTGATAGATATTTTGTTTTGAAGTGATAGAACTCAAATCAGAGGTTATCACTTTTTTAAAAAAAAGAAAACATAAAGATATTCATCTCATGCACAAATTGTTGCATTTTTTTCCTCATAAATACAAGAAGGAACAATCTTGGTACACAAAAAATTACTCCAATTAATCATGATCTTGAATATAGAAGAATGAGACTGTATAGAGAAACAGAAAAAGTAAGGAATTTCTCTTGTACCGTGGGGAAGATTGTGCTTTAACTTGGCCATGACCATATTGCAACGTACCCTCCAACATTGATTCTGCCGCTATTACCCTCTTCTCCATTTGAGCAAGCAAAGCCATAGTCTTTTCATGTTTTTCCTGCAAGCAAAGCCATAGTCTTTTCCTGTATATATAACTTTCAAGACAAGATAACAAAAATGAAAAAATTATATTCTTGAGCTATGTATGGATGCAAGATACAGAAGATCAAACAGTCTGAAGATCAGATTCTCTGTTTGAAATTGCTTTTCCATATAACACATTGGAATTGCTTTTCCATATAACACATTGGAAGGGGAACAGTGCACTTTTCATTACTTAACTGCAATGAAAAATATCTTTGGGTGACTATGGGTTGCGACAACATTAGAACGTTATGAAGTCATAGGCATACCTTGTTTTCTAAATATCACAAAAGTCAAAGGCAATTAAAGAGACCACTAGAAAGGTTCAATCATTGTTGACATTTAATGACTTTCATATTAAAGAAAGAAAAAAAAAATGAGTCCCTGAATTTCAAAACAAAGAATCTGACTTGTAATTGCATAACTCATCAAAAAATGGACTACTTAATAGGCCAATAAAAAAAAACTTCCAGAGTTAATGGAAACAAAAGTGGTTTATTAGGATATCAAATTATGAAATAGGCAGTTAGGCAGAACATGATCAATTTGCAATTAAATTACATTTACATGAGAAATAAGTGCTTTTTAAGGAATTCAAATGAACCTCATATAAATGTATGACCAGGAAGATCTCCACAGAGATATAATGACCAATTATTGACACAGTAAAGAATTTGAGAAGGCAATAAAACTCTTAAGGGGTGAGGGATGAAAGGAACAATAATGTGCTCATGAAAATTTATGAAATTCCTCTCAATAATAGAGCTGCATGATATATTTATGTTTCACATACCCACCTACTTCGTTGAACTCTTTATAAAGTATACACAATGCTAAATCCAAGGTAATCGTGTTCTTTCTCAATATATCAAGCCAAATTCTGTGGCTTTCCCGTTGTCCTCCACAAAGTAAAGAGGACCTTTCCTACTTTGGGGCAAACATTCTTTTTTCTTTTTTTATCCTAATCTACATTAATGTCAATTGGCATTGAGGTGTTAAAAGTACTTAGAAACTCAGGTCAGATATGTAAAACCTGAAATCCACTGACCATTTCCTCCCAAGCACCCTTGGACGACACTGACTGCAACCATACCATGGGATAGCTCGTGGTGTTCTGCACACAAATATCATGTGTGCCGCCACCTCTGGAAAAATTAGGGAGAAGGCCATGGAAAATATTGAATGGATAAATTTACTAGGGTTTATATGCTTTACTAGTAAAATAGTGATACTCTATTTGCAAGCTAGAAAAACTACCTCTTCAGGGAATTTGACTTGAGAGGAAAAACTTCCCACCACGTGCAACAAAATGTTATTACTTTTCCTTTCCAGGGATCGACAATGAAGTGAGATCTAAATGCCTACTATGAGCTTGAATAATATAAAATGCAAAAAATGACAGAGAACCTGAAGCACATGCACTACATATCTCTGAGCAGCTGCATCTTGCTCAGCAAAGACTCGAGCATCTTCAGTTAGCTTCTGTTCTTGTTCAACACGCATCAGGACCTATAGTGGATGCAATTGCAAGTTACAATAATAATTACAACAGAGAAATATTGCAGATTGATTTTTCCAACTAAATGTCAGAGAAAACACTTGGCAAATTCAAACCTGAAGCATTGCGTTTTCCTGTTCTTTCTTGTCTGCAAGGGCTTGTCGTAGATCAGCAACCTCTTGCTCCAACTGCTCAACCTGAAATCCTAGATTTTGTAAGCACAAAAACTGACTTGGATCTTGGAAGTGAAGAAAGAGAGAAGGATTAATTGAACTTGGTGGCCAATCATAAAGCTTTAGAAGAAAATTGTATCATTGTAGTTAATAAATAGTGAAACAGATTCAAATATATTAGAAGCCATTAGATCATCTCTCTATTAGTGCCATGTCAATCATTTTGGGATGGAACATAGAATGTAAGCCATCATTAGTAACATGCATATATAACAAATATCATAAAAGACCACTCAAGTACTTGTGCTTAAGCATAAAGAACCATAATGTTAATGAAGTGTGAATTTGCTTGCATGAAACATAAATGTGCATAGAAAGACAAGTACAAGAAAGGTATAACACTAGCAGAAGATAAATAGAAGATACATTTCCTCTTTTATTAAAGCATAGAGCAATATGAATTGATTAAATGAAGCCATTTACGAGATTTGTGGCTAGCCTAAAAAAAGTGCAATAAAAGGAGAAATATGGTATAAAAGTACAATAAAACCTTTAACACACAGAATGACGCCACATCCCAATTTCATAACCAAAGCATACGTGCATATATTTTTCCTTTAATATGATACAATGTGTAGATAAAACACAAGAAGAACAGTAGTCAAAGTGTAGTTTAATATACCCTTGCACTCAATTGCCGTCGATTATCTTGCTTTACCATCTCCATTAGTGCTGTTTCCAACTCCTCAGCTCTGGAAAAGAACAAGAACCACTCTTATGGATTTACTGTAGCTTTCATGAGGCACATTAAGAAAATTAATACTATTTACGCCCCAGAGCAAAACAGATGATCATCTAAGAAGTAATTTTGTATTTAAAGATTGACTAACTTCCATGAGAAATTAATGCCCTCACAAAAGGATACACATGGATATATGACTGCTAATGTTAAATGATAACATAGATTATTAGCACAAAACAGGTTAAATAAACAATTTGCTCTAATGAAGGAACCCTAGAGAACTTCAACACATACATAGACAACACAAAAGCAGCTGGACACATTAATCACGCAATGCATACCAGGCTTCTAATGACACTGGGTTGATCACCTTGCCTAATTAACTACTCATGTATTTGTTTATCTTATCATAATCACCATCTTATCTTCAACCTAATAATATGGGCCTAACTGGAAGCATGAAAAATCCACGGAAAGATGCAGATACTAGACACCACACAGCAAGTACTAACCTTAGTGTACCAGATCTCTTCTCCTCCAGCAACCTGCACAACTCGACCTTCAACCAAACCACCTGCACATGAGCTGTTAATGAGCGAAACTTAAAAAGAGTTGAACATGAATTACTTATATTCATCGCGTGATTACAAGTAATATGCCATTGTTTACATTTATAAGTTTTGCAATTATTGAACTGGAAATCTAGTCATACTACCCAGCAAATGAAATGAGTAACAGATAGGGGTGTTCAAGAAACCGATTCGCCCGACTCGAAAAATCACTCAACAGAAAAAATCACTCAACAGACGGTTTCGTGAGAATAAACGGTCGGCTGCGGTTGACAAAATCAAAATTTTCCAGAATATCGGTCGAGTCATGGTTTCCTAAGCCAAAAAATCATAAAACCCAAACCGACCGACCTAATTAAATATAATATATTCCATACATGTTATGGTAAATTCTAACATCATACTACCCAGCAAATGAAATGAGTAACAGATAGGGGTGTTCAAGAAACTGATTCACCCGATGAAACCGATTCGCCCGACTCGAAAAATCACTCAACAGACGGTTTCGTGAGAATAAACGGTCGGCTGCGGTTGACAAAATCAAAATTTTCCAGAATATCGGTCGAGTCATGGTTTCCTAAGCCAAAAAATCATAAAACCCAAACCGACCGACCTAATTAAATATAATATATTCCATACATGTTATAATTTTATTTGCTAGACAAATTACATCTTTTATCTTTCATTAATTTTATATTTATATATTCTCAAAAGTTGATCTCTGCACTCTGTCCAATACGCTCTTAAATTTTTAGAAAGAATAGTCATCATATTTACATTTTAGAAAAGTGAACTGCTAGCCTAGGTATCTATCCCAAAGCCTAATGTCATAATTACTTCTTCTTTTTTTAATTTTTATCTGAGAGTCTTTATTGAACTCATTCTTAACACCTCTCTCTTATTATGAGACTTTTTTCTCTCTCACTCTCATAGTCTCTCTCGGTTTGATCTCTTTTTTCTTTTTCTTTTTCTTTTTCCTTTCAAACTCTCTAATTTTATAAATTTTTAATCCTCAACACCTTCACTCTGGAAACCCCTCGTCTCCCTCTCACACTCACCCTCTCATACAAACCAAAGAGTTCTTATAACGGTGATTTTGAAAGCAAAGGACATTGAAGAAGCAGCTTTGGTCAGAAATCAATAATCTAAACCTACAGATGAATATATATATATATATATGCGCTCGTGCAAGGCTGCTACAAATCTCTCTTTAATTTTTTTTTTTTTTTTTTTTCTTCACTCTCTTTCAGATCTAAATATCTATGCATATGTATGTATAGATTACAGTTTGAAAGAGAAAAGGGTGATGTCACCAGATCTGTCCAACTTGTTTGCCCGACCGAAATCCGACCGCTAAAATCGGTGTCGAAGTGTGTGGTTTCGAACAACAGTGCGGTCGAAAGCGGATGAAGAAATCTCTAGCCCGATAGACTTGGTTCGGATGACGGGTCCATGGCAAACCCGAGCCGACTCGACCCGTGAACACCCCAGTAACAGAGATAATAATATACATCACATGTACATGGCAATTCTAAGGAAAGAAATTTAATTCAAGCTAATAAAATAAAGAAATGCAACATGTTCATTCTTGTCATACCAAAGCAACTGGTCACATGCTTCAAACCACATTTTATTTTGTGCAGTGTCACAGCTAAAATTACTCAGTTTCTAGAAAAACTAACTTCTATGTGATGGCGAGCATGGAAAGAAGAAAAAGGGTAAATTTAAAATTTCACATGGAGCACGTTTAGGATATTATGGATTGAAGTTTTGAAATAATTTTGAGTATTTATGTGTACTTAGTTTAATTTAGTATGTTGTTGGATATTTTTTATGTCATTATAGTAAGCTTTAGTAAATAGGGGCATTATGGTAATTTCAATAATTGTTGAACATGAGTAGTAGTTATAGTCCATGGGTGATCTTGCAGGTCAAGTAATGTTGTTTGAATTTTATTTAGAGTCCTAGTTAGTCTAGAATATTTGTAATTACCAAATGTCCTCAATTTCTAATATTGTTGTCCTATTCCTTGTAGAAGTAGGAGAAGTCTAGTATCTTATAAATACATATGTAATCTTTATTTTCAAAGGAGAATTTACGAGAATTTGAGATTATGTTTGTGTGAACTTGCCTAACCCTTGTGAGGGTGAAACAACTTTTTCCCTCTCTTCTTCTTCTTATTCTTTGCCCACATAGCCAAGTTTCTATTCTTGGGTTACTATTCATGGCTCTCAAAAAGTGCATTTTTCGGCCCTAAAATCCTATCCAATCACCCCCAAATCAACCCTAATCCCTTCTCTTGAATTGGCCTTTAATTTAACCATTAAACCCCAAATTACTCATTTTTTAGGCCCTTCAAAAACCTCTGTTAAAAGTACCAGCATGCTGTCATTTTTGAAATCAAACCAAATTTCACATGTTTTCATTTCCAAACCCTACACTGTCTTCTCGCTCTTAGAATCCTAATTCTAGAAGCTTTCTTCTCCAACATTAGTTTGGTATCAAAGCTCAAGATCCTACTTTGTTCTCCACCAATTTTTTTTTGGGAAAATAGTGGAATTAGGGAAACTATTTACAAACAAGTGGAAAGCTTTTGAGAATTATGCATGCAAAATTAATAAGAGATGGAATAGAAAAAAGTTTAGGACAATTTTTCCCTTCAAGGATTGAAATGGAGTCGTTCTTCCTCTCCCTCTCACAACCACTCTCACTCTCTCCCACGGTCTGTACCAGAGCATCAAACCCTCCCTCCGACTCCTACTTCCCTTTTTTTTTTTTTTTTTTGCAATTTTACCCATGTGTGAAATTACTTTTAAGGACAAAAGACTAAAATTAAATATATTTTATTTTCTTACACCCATTACTCTTCAATTTCTACTGCTCTTCTTCTCTTCTCAGTTTCCTTCTATGCTACATATCTCTTTTTAAAAATTAAGAATCATGGTGTTTTGATCATAGAAAAAAACAATGGATAAAGAAACGGTGGTGAAGAACCATAAACAAAGTGAAATGGTGAGTTTTTTTTGTTTGTTTTGTAGGTTTTCGTTTCATTTTTTTAGAGAGTTCTTTGACTTTTATTTAGTTTGTCAAAATTGAACAAAATAAAATAGTCCAAAATCACATCTTCGAACAAAAAGTATATGTCCGGTAACGCACTGTTGAATAAAATATACATTTACGGTAACCCAGGGCTGAACGTTTTTAATTTGTTTACTTACACATTGCCATGCATTTCAAGTTTTATTTATTTTTTTTATATGTTTTGTTTTTTTGCTTGGAAGGATTATGCTTCTATTCATTGTAGCAATGCAAGTGCAATCATCCGACTGCTGAACATCTTGAATGGCACTCATTTGCTGGTAGATTATTTGAGGAGGAAGCATTCTTGTTAGTTGACATGTCAAAGAGTATAGTATGATCAAAAGAGATATTGATTGCATTGAAATGAAGCGATGTCTTTAATGCTACAACAATGAAGACAATCTACAACGCACGTAAAGTGACAGGTGATTGGACAAATTTATTTTAGTTCGGCAACATAACACTAGAGTAATCTAATTGTATAGCAATGTATCACGGAACAAGCACTTCACAAATGAATTCTAACTAATTTCTTGTTAAAGTAAAGTAAAATCATCCAATCAAACGGTAACAAATGGCTGGAAACAATTAGTTTGTCTAGTAACACGTCACTGGAGTAATTCAAATTCTTTAATATTGTATTACTAAAAATTATTGGTTTTTAGAGACAAAACTGAAAGGATTTTGAAAAGTTTTTAGTTTAAGATTAGTTTTGATAGTATAATGGATGTAATGAGAATCTTTTTTTTTTTTTTTTAATTGGTGTAAAGAAATAAATAAAAATAAATAAAAATAATGAATTGGGAATGAAACGGAGGAGAGAGGGGACAAGTCACATGGGTGTCTTGATGTAAAGGAAATAAAAGAAAAAATAAAGAAATTGAGTGGGTGACCAGTGCGTTGCAGAGACCACCACTCATACTGCAACAAGATTCCACAAGTTGGGCAGAATGGGGAACAAGAGTGCAGGGAGGATGTGATAATATAATAATAGTAATAAAAAAATAAAAAGTGAGACCATCAATGAGAGAAACAGGGTGTGTGTGTATGAATCACATATATGCCTCTGTGGGAGTTCTGTGGAAGCCGAGGATGCCTCGGTGGGAGCCATTGAACGCCGAGGCCGACGACGAGATGGTGTCAAGGCCAAGCTTCTTGGGTGCCATGGAAACAGTTCTGTGAGGCACTCGCTGTCCGGAGTTGCAGGATTTGGTTATCCTCTCGGCATCTTCAGGCAAAGGCCACTATCCAAAACCATTAGAAGCTTCGGAGGATGCGAAGGGACAATCTTTGGGGAAATTTCCTCTGATGAGGAAAATGCTCCAGCTGAAGCCTTTCAGAGTGTCCAGATATGCCGAGAAGTAAAACTTGGATAGGTGCTCGGGGGCTGGAAATGCGGTTGGGAGTGGAGTTGGGTCCGACAAGTCGGGCAAGGCCAAAATCGGAGACACGGGCCTCGAAGGAAATACTGTTGGGCCCTGTGAGTCGAGGTATGAAAGCCCACGTGCAGCTCCAAGGGCAATGGCAGATCTTGTTTCCCAGTTTAAGGGTGTCCTACCAGCTCCTCGGGGGGAATCTGGACCGTTGATTCACGGGTTGGGTGATGAATCAGTTTGTTGAGGAAGGAAAAAGAGAATTAGAAAATTTGGTTTTGTCCGGCGGACGGCGAAGGCGAGGTTGCCGCCCGCCGGTAAAGCGGAATCACTAAATTCTTAACCTTGCTCTGATACCATGAAAGAAATTATGTATTATTGATTTATTGATAGATATTGTGTTTCTTACAATTACAAGGATTCCTATTATATAGGAGTGTGTTTGGGAGTAGGTGGAGAGTAGGTGTAGTGGAGGTGGTAGTGGGTTAGGTTTAGTGGAGTAGGTGAGGTGGTAGTGGTGGTAGTGGGTTAGGTTTAGTGGAGTAGGTGAG